GGCGCCTGCGCCAACTCGGAGCGCGAGACGGCGGCGGCGAAGAACCGGGCGCTGCGCGAGACGGGCGCCTTCGTCCCCGACACCTTCAACGACCTGGGCAGCACCATTGGCCACGTCTTCGACCAGCTGGTGGCCAACAAGGTGATCCTCCTCAAGGAGGAGGTGCCGCCGCCCACCGTGCCCATGGACTACGACTGGGCGCGGGAGCTGGGCATCATTCGCAAGCCCGCCTCCTTCATGACCTCCATCTGCGACGAGCGCGGCAATGAGCTGACGTACGCGGGCATTCCCATTACCCGCGTCATCAAGGAGGAGCTGGGCATTGGCGGCACACTGGCGCTGCTCTGGTTCCAGCGACGGCTGCCGCAGTACGCCACCAAGTTCTTTGAGATGGTGCTCATGGTGACGGCCGATCACGGCCCGGCGGTCTCTGGCGCCCACAACACCATTGTCTGCGCTCGCGCCGGCAAGGACCTCGTCTCCTCACTGGTTTCCGGCCTGCTCACCATTGGCGACCGCTTTGGAGGGGCCCTGGACGCCAGCGCCCGGCAGTTCAGTCAGGCCTATGACTCTGGCACCATTCCCATGGAGTTTGTCAATCAGATGCGGAAGAAGGGCGAGCTGATCATGGGCATTGGCCACCGCGTCAAGTCGATCAACAATCCGGACATGCGCGTCAAGCTGATGAAGGACTACGTCAAGCAGACCTTCCCCTCGACGGCCGTCCTCGACTATGCGCTCCAGGTGGAGAAGATCACCACTTCCAAGGTTTGTTCTAACAAGAGTGTTTTTACAAAGCACTTTACTAAACATTTAAAACTCCAACTTTCAGAAACCAAACCTCATTCTGAACGTGGACGGCGTGGTGGCCACCTGTGTGGTGGATTTGCTGCGAAGCAGCGGTTGCTTCACCGCTGAAGAGGCTCAGGAGTACCTGGACATTGGCGTCCTCAACGGACTCTTTGTCCTCGGCCGTACGATTGGCTTCATTGGCCACTACCTTGATCAGAAGCGACTGAAGCAAGGTCTGTACCGTCATCCTTGGGATGATATCAGCTTCGTCTTGCCGGTAAGTTTTTTTTCCAATTTGTGTAAAAATCACTTGAACTAATCTGTATTTGTTTGACAATGTAGGAGAACGCTGGCAACCAAAACAACTAAAGCAGCAGTGCATGTGTTTTACCTGTTACCCATTGACCATGACTTGCAATCTCGAGGTACTGTGACAACTGGAAGCTAAAAATAGAGCCATTTGCTAACCGAATTTGTTTTTCATTTGTAGACAAGCCCCAGAACCAATCTAAAGAATATCCTCTTTCTTCCCATCGTTTTCACACCGTCAGCTGAGAATGACTACACTTTAACTATTTTGCAAGAAAGCTCATCTTCCAACCAGGTTAGATTAACAACACTCAACACATTCACACACCAAAGTTTGTCACCGTTTAAAATTAACTTTCAATTAGCCAACCACTTTATAAACCGACAGGCACACACACCTCTAGCACTTATTACCAAATGGAAGCACTCTTCTTCAGATTACCTGTGTGTTGTGCTTCTGAAAATTCCTTATTTATTGCCATTTTACGGTTGTGCTCCCCTGCTTTGAGGTGCACCACATACCAAAACACACAACCCCTAGCTTTTACAAACACACAACCACAACTTCCGTTTCTTCTGCTCCTCTTCTTCTGACTTACTCTGATTTGTCTCATTTACTTTACTTTTTTTGTCTCCTTTCCAACACCACAGGCACACAATTTCCTCCTCCTTTTCTATCGTATCATTTGAATGCGCCTCTCTTTACTCTTTTTGTTTCATACTTGTTCTTTTCGTCATCACTTGCTTACTTTCCTTCCTTCCTTTTCATCCCAGTGCGCCTCTACCTACCTACCTATTATTGCTAGAGAATGCCTATTTGCCTAATTTAAAGTTTTATTTTTGCTATTAAATTAAAGTATTAAGCGTAGCATTGTGCATGGACATTATTACCATTGGTTTAGCTCGTTTACCTCCATGCCTGCTTTTGTCGTTTTAATTTGTTTTAGTTTTCTGCACCTGCGATCCCAAAGGTTGTGACTTGCCAAGCAGCTTACCCTACCATTTTCAGCTACCAATTTGTCCACCATTTGACATTTCTATTTTCTCACTATATTTTGCCTGCTACATTTTCAAGGGCTCATCGTTGTGAATTGTGCCCCCCTCCACTACTTGAAAACCGACCATGGTTGTGACCGCTACTTTTGCCGCCCACTCTGTGTAGTGTGTGGTCAGNGAGCAGCTTACCCTACCATTTTTTCAGCTACCAATTTGTCCACCATTTGACATTTCTATTTTCTCACTATATTTTGCCTGCTACATTTTCAAGGGCTCATCGTTGTGAATTGTGCCCCCCTCCACTACTTGAAAACCGACCATGGTTGTGACCGCTACTTTTGCCGCCCACTCTGTGTAGTGTGTGGTCAGCACGCCCTCTGATAACCTTCCAGTTTATATGTTCCCTCCTATGTAGTAGTGAGTAGTGTGACACGCTTTTATGTGTGTCAAGATTTCATAATAAAGTGCCTTTTGGCATCTAGAGTTGAAAAACTGTTTTGAGTTTGAGATAGATGTGCTTTTTTATTAAATGAACAGGCTTTTGAGTCCTGTTGGTGAAGGGTATAAGAACAAGGAGCATAAGAATTAATACATTAGAGCTGAATGAATGACTACTTTCTACAAGTTGTAATACAAAACGGTATTATGTACAGGTAATGAGTAAGCAAAGGTAATGAGTGAGGTGAAGAAGAAGTTTGAGATGTTGTCGTTGATGAACACAGATTGGAAGTTTGAGGTACTGGGTTTAAGAGATCCTGAGAGAAAGAGAGAGTTTACAACTGAGCTCGTTGAACCAATCAATGAAAACGGCTGCTATTTTGTGGGCGCTTTACTGCTGTTGTTGATGGCGTTGGTGTTGGGTGTGTTGCTGCTGACTACTGCGGTAAAGGCCGTCACAATGGGCGTTCGAATGGAGGTCATCTGCGGTTGACCGGCCAGACCTAGGGTAGGATTTGCAGTCAGTGTTTGCAGCGAGGCACGCATCATCGAGGAGGAGCCGATGGAGAGGGGGATGCCGTTTTTGGAGGTGATTGACGGAGAGTTGGAGAGTGCCAGTGGAATAGCCGACACTGGAGAGGGAAAGGCGAAGGGAAGGTGGCTGGAGGTGGTGGCGGTCAGTTGGAGACCACCAGACTGAGTGCTTGTCGTCGTCAGATTCACTATTTTGGGCGTCAGAGCATTCTGGTCGATTGGTCGAAGCGTCTGAGTTGACAGGTTGAAGCTGCTGGCGTTCAGTGTTGACGGCTTTGTGGAGGTCATCAGGTTGTTCCCACCATCAGCACTTCCACTGGTGGTGAATGGGAGGATTCGTTGGTGGTGGTTCGACGACGACGATTCGGTGATCATCGGCATGGAGGAGGGCNTCAGGTTGTTCCCACCATCAGCACTTCCACTGGTGGTGAATGGGAGGATTCGTTGGTGGTGGTTCGACGACGACGATTCGGTGATCATCGGCATGGAGGAGGGCGACGGCGTCGGCGAGTCGTCCATGCCGTTTGGCCTCTTCGCCTTCAGCGCCTGTCGCTTATTGCAGAACCACACTCTCACCACGTCGCGATTAATCTTCGAGTCGTGAGCACAAAGAACCTTGGCAATCTCCGTCATCTCCTCGCTGCTCGGCTTGGGCGTTTTCTCGAAGAAGTGATTCAACGCCTTCAGCTGCTCATG